CCAGGTTGGTCTGACAGGACCTGCCTCTAATGAACCTGTGTTGGTTGCCCCTAAGCATAATCTCCCCTGCTGGCCCCTTGCGGACATGTGCCAGAATAATTCTCTCAAAAAGCTTGCCCAGGATCGAGGCAAGACTAACTGGCCTATAGTTCCCCAGGTCTTCCTTCCTCCCTTTTTTGAAGACGGGAACCACATTGGCCCTCTTCCAGTCCTCTGGCACCACACCAGAGCACCATGAGTGCTCATAAATTTGTGCCAGGGGTCCCACAATGACCTCAGCTAATTCCCTCAGCACTCTGGGGTGGAGATCATCCGGACCAGCTGATTTAAATACTTCCAGTCCCTCCAGAAGTTCCCTGACTAGATCCTCCCTCACCCTTGGCCTAGGTGCGCCTCCCCTGGGGCCTGAGGGGGGCTGTGCACCTCCTGGGTTAGATGGAGGTCCTATGCTTCCATGCTGGGACCTGTGTGGGGTCCTGCAACAACCTATGCATCACCCACAGGCATGGGTCAGCGTGGTCCCAGGTGTAAGAGCTTGGGTCCTGTGACAACCTGTGCTTCACCTGGAAGAATGGATCAGATCACTCCCATGCTGCCCCGCACCTCTGCACTGGGACCCACACTGACCCAGGACTCCCAGCGCAGAGGCCCAGGTGCTGGGGATCAGCTTCTGCACTGGCCCAAACCTCCATGCTGGGATCCATGCTGACTCATGCTTCACAGGAAGGGACATGTCAAGGAGGCATGAGGCAGTGAGAGAGACAGGAGTCCCATAGCAATGTCTGTTTGGGACAAGGGTCAACATATGTTTCACCCAGTAAACAGAGGTGCTGTGGCAAGATGCATCCCATCATAGCTGATCTACCTAGTCATGGCATCTTCTGTTCCTTGCCTAAGTGTCACAAGCCTGTACCTTATAACAGTAGCAAAACTCTTCATTCAGGGTTAAAGTTGTTGTGGCAGGTGAATTCAATTGTATAACAACTTTAGCTTTCAAGTTCAAAATATACTGAATTCATTTAGCCCAGAATGTATTGAATGTAGTTAACCTCGTAGAAAAGACTGTGGAAACTAAAGCGATCAAGAACTGAGGTGGTTCAGAATGCCGTAATTTTTGTAATGTTTATTCTAGAAACATTGTAGGAACACTGTTTTAGAATAATGCAACCTACAATCCTCAATTTTCTTTTAGTATGCATTGTTGACTTGTTTTCCTGTATGTTTAATAGGGACTTTCAGTTTGGCCATATGGATGGAAATGACTACATAAATAGTTTACTAATGGAGTAAGTAAATTCTTATTTAAATGTTTTCCCTCATCTTAGCTTGTCACTAATTATGCTCCTGGTTTGAAAATAACCGCTCATCTGCTGTGCTTAAAAGTTGGCATTTCCCTCCCCTCCCCTCCATCAACCCCTCACCAGATTCTAACTTTGAATGTGGACTCCTCTTCTGTGGTAGTATAGGAGTGCGTTTTGTAGCTGCTGTGGTCCAGAAATTATGCAAGAGGCAAGGATTTCTTAGGGAGATGTCTTCCATTAGACTAACTATATAGCTGGGATAAAGTTCCCAAATGCAAGATTGGGGGGTGGGGAGGTCCTCACCTATTCTTACTTAAGTGGTTCCAAACTAAAAACAGGCATCTTAATCCGTATTTAGAGTTTAGGATTTAGGGTTTCTGTCTTAGCTTCTACTAGTTACTTCCATAAATGTTTTTAATAACTCCAATAATCAGTCATTCCTAATCAGGAACCTCACTTTCACAGTTAAGGCTCAGAGTGAATAGCCCTGAAAAAGGTACCAATATGTAGGTTCTAATACAGTGACGGTTAATACTTAGGCCAGTCTCTGCACAAATTTTTCCATGACAAAATGTGTCTCTACATTGGTGCTTAAAACATGTTCTATGTTTTATGCATGTTTTGCTTAATTTTTTGTAGCATCTGCTGTCCACCAGATGGCAGCAGCTGAAAGCCAAAAAGTGAATAGAATAAAACTATAGTGAAAGGCAATGTAGTGTTCCTTACCCTTTTAAGCTCAAGGCACTTCCCCATAACTGTTTCTGAATTTTGTGGCACCCCAGTTGGAAAAAAATGCAAATTTATTTATTATAGTGTGTTTAAAAATAAAACAAAGCTGAATATGACTGGAGACACTTTTTTTTCTTTAAGTAAAAACACTGGAGAAAACATGCATAAAAAACCATAGCATAATTAATGAGACACTTTAGCCTGGCAGGATCCCAGCTGAGAATTCCTAGGGAAGCATCCAAGTACCCCAGTGGTCTGTGGCTCACCTTATACAACCCACATGGTGTGCAGCCTTTGTGGCTCCCAGGGGCTTAGCAGTTGGACAGCCATGATCTAAGTTTTTAAATGTTGCTTCTACTCACTGAGCCAATGAAATCTTACAGGTAGACCTATGGCTATGGGTCATTAATGCATTGAGCTTCTGTTATGATTATGTCCAGCTTAGCAGAATATTTGAAGTGATACATGTGCAAAGGGTAAAAGGTCATGTTGAACGCATCATTTTGAAAGCTCTAGTCATTATTTAACTCACTAATTCTAGGATGCTACAATGGGAAGTTGTGGAGAATAGAATGATCTTCAATGACTTCATCAAAATCTTGATGCTCAGAAGTAAACTAATTAAAGACAATAAAACATTTTTTTACAGACACCATATTTTCCCCTTAACTGATTACCTTTTTTACTCCATTTTTCAATAATAGCAAATATATATTTCATTTTCCATGTGTTTAGTGTGTTCTTTAGCATTCTCTTCTAATGCTGTACATCCTGCTATGCCATAGAAAATCTTGCAACTTGTATGGTTTCTTTAGATTTCTAATCTGTTTGGCTTCTTCAATTTTCAGTGAATTGACAATCCCTACTGTTGTTGTATTGAACACTTCCAACCAACAGTATTTTCTGCCAGACAGACATATTGAGAGCATTGAAGACATGGTCCAGTTCATTAATGATATCTTGGATGGTACAGCAGAAGTAAGTTTTCAGCATGAATTGGAAATATTGTTTTGCAGCTGTTTGTGTTCCTGAACTGCCACTGAGCATGGTTGGACTGACATCTTATGTCAAAGAAATAAATGCAGTTTAGTGATTGTAACATGAATAGCGTGTGGCAATTTCTAGTCAGCTTGTTTTGAACCTAACCAGCATTTTTTTTCTTGTCTCGCGTATTGTTTCTACTGTAATTTGAGACGTTTAAAATTTTAACTGCCACAAGGCAGTGCATCAGTAATGGAAATAGTTTTTGTTGGACTGTTATGAAACTAAACATCTTGGGTCGATTCAATAGTTCAGGTAAAAAAAACCTTGTAATATATATCATTCTGCCCTTTATACCTCCTCCTATCTAGACATTGAGCCATTGATGCTACTTGTTGAGTATGTTGCTCCAACCAGATATATATCCACCTTAGAGTGTTTTTTTTCTAGTCTGTATTTCCTTATCTTGTTAATGAGAATGTTGAGAGAGTGTCAGAAGCCCTGCTCCATCATCTTTCCAGGTATTGAGGACAGGCTGACTGATCTGTAGTTCAGTTCCTCCTCCTTACCTTTTTTAAAGGTGGGTACTTTGCACTTTTTCAGTCATCTGAGGCCTTGCCATACCTCCACTACTTCTCAAAGTTGTCAGTACAGATACATTCTCTCTCCCCTTCTCTATACTTCTCTTCTGGGAACTTGGATAGTAGACATAATTTGAAAAGAGTTGAGGGATCAAAAATTCTTATAACCTTGCTTTGAAATTTTCAGTTCTTGAAGTCAGCCTGTCCCTGTTGTTATCCCATAGGAATGTGGGTTTGAATTATACATGGCAGAGGGCAGTTGACACTGATAAATTAAAGCAAAATAATATTATGAGAGAAGAATGAATGCCTCATGAACTCTTTCACAAAGTGCTTGAAACATCTCTTTTTGGTAGAAATTTCAAAATAATAGGTGTCATCAGGGAAATAAATATTCAAATATTCTGAAGTTTTTCTCTTTGCATAGAAAGCAAGTTTTATAACCTTTCTGGAGATTTTAAGGTATTATGAAAGAGAGAAGAATGAAAGATAAGTTAACTTATATAACTGAACAGCATTGACTGTTTTAATACCTTTGTTCTACTTAAAATTACAGGCACAAGGTGGTGATGGAATTCTGCAGCGAATCAAGAGAATAATATATGATGCCAAATCTACTGTAGTAGTAAGTAAAACAATGTGTACAATTGCAGTATAAAGTAAGCACCGTTGTCTGCCAAGTGTAAACCATTATGGTCCTTTTCGAGACAATCAGACACTTTTCACTTAGAATATATGTAACTTCATAATATTTCTGGCTTGTTGGATCCATTTAGAGATACCTTCAGACAACAGAACCCTGTAAATTGCTTTGAAAAGTATTTTTTCATTAATCCCATTCTGTTGAATTTTTTAGTGTCAAACATCTTTTTTTTTTCTTTCTCCCCATCAGTGAAAATGATGTCAAGTTAAAGGAGGTTATACAGAATTCAGAAAGCTTTGTTTGATTCGTCTATAGTTTACTGGAATTACTGCACCAGCCTACATTGAAAAATGATACTATCTAATTGGTTTAGGAAGGATATAATTGGAGGAGAATTATATACATGGTAAAGATTAAAACAATATTGTTGTTACAAATCAGAATTTTCCTTGAAGAGGCTTTTGTTAAGTTCATTTCACCACTCGTGACTTCTTGAACAAGAAACTTACACTTAAGTTTTACACAAATTTATTGATTGTCTGATATTTTTCAGAAATAATTTATTGATCCTTTCTTTAACTGTAAAGTCTAGAATAATGCTGATGCATTTTTGCCGCCTTAATGAAGCAGTTTTACCTCAAGATTCAAGATGCTTGTTCATTTAAAACAAAATTTACCTAACAATTCTAACTATTTTTTTTCTTTTCATGAGAGAGGAGCAAGTCTCCTTGGGTTTTTAAATGAATTGTAAGTGAAATTTGAGAAGTGCTATAAATTATCTTACAGTTTCCAGAATTGCTATTGACTTCAAATTATGTACCAACAGTCTGTATTCAAGAGTTCACCACTTCTGGGCTGCTTTCTCTTTGGTTTGCCACTGGGTGTCATCAGCATCATGTGCTATGGAATCTGTACAGCAGACACAGATGGAGGGACAGAAGAGACTATGGCAACTAAAAAAGAAACTGGAGACAGAGAACTCACAGATGAAGGCAGTGAGGAAGAGCAAGAGGAGGAAAACAAAGAGACAGAACTTTCAGATGGAGAGCAGAAACAGAAAAACGTTTTGGATAAGAAAAAAGACTAACGTTCCTAGTTTAGAGAATTCCGTAGAATTTCCAAATAGAGACTTATTTATTGAAATTAGTCATTTGATGATGATTGTCACAGAAGAGGACTTTTGTCTGTATTATGCTAAATTTGACTTGCATGTATTCAAATCTTACCCATTGTGGGGAAGGCAGAGGGCAGGATTGAAATCTCTCTTCATCTTTTTACATCTTACCTAAAAGCAGTTAAAATGGAGAAATATACATGTGCTCTAACTCTCACTTTTTTTCTCTGAAGGTTAATATTCTAACCTATTTGTTTACAGACAGCAGTCAGGTAAAAAAATGTTCTTATCTTCCAGTCCTTGCACACATCATGAACTATTAAGTGGCCAACACGAAGCAGGCTTTTTTCATATGAACCGAAGTAAAAATTCTCAGGAAAGATTATAATGAACTCTGTAATTCTTCAAGCTTTATATTTCTGCAAACTCAAGAATGCTTTGGAGCTTTCTCGAAAGGCAGTTAGTGTGCAGTACCTAAAAATGTTTTAAAGAAATGCATTTATTTTACTACTAACTTGTTATGAATTACAGAATTGCTTTCTATTATGTGCAGTACAGTTACTGGCATTTTTCTCCAGAATTTCTATTTAATGCAGAACTTAACAGTTCTTTGTTAAATAGTAAGTCTTTAAAAAGCAAAGTTTAAACAACTAAAATGTATTTGAAAGATATAAAGGGGTTTTTTTTCTTTTAAACTGGAAAATAGTTCTGATTTCTTTTTTAACAACTTAAACATTTATCTTATTTTAGAGCAAGTTGTTATCTAAATTTCTGATTGCAGAAGGAACTGAATGTGGCTCCTTTATGGAAAAGTAAATACAAGCATCCTCAAATGTCTGCCATTCTTGCACAGACCATTAATGACAGGCTTTTCCAAATACTTTGCAAAAACATGTTTGAAGGATATAAGTCTGTCCACAATCTTAAGTTCATATTGCTATATTCTTAACATGAAAAATAAATTTGTTTGAATGTGGTTTTAGATCAGATGGTTGATATTATTGGTATTTGCATTTGAGAGTTTAACTACACGCTATAGTTGTGGAGGAGATGTTAATGGAGTACAGCATTGTTAACATTCATAGAAAGAGGGATATTTGTCAGTGTAATACATTTTCATTAGCTATTTAATCATAAAAGTCATTTCTCATAAAACTCCATGACATTGTAATGGACAAAGTTCTCTCCAGAGTTGAAATCTCATGGGATAAGCCACAAAACAGACTTTGGTTGCATTGATGTCATGGAGATTACCATAGCAACTAAACTTAGGCTCCTCATTACTGAGGGTGCACAATATTCAGTTGTACAGTCAGCCATGAGTTCTTTCTAGTTTTTGATTTTGTTTTCTTTTTAAGGATGTGTAATACAGATATTAATGTCCTCTGTATAAGGCAGCTTAATCACTCTAAATATATATACATGCTCTAGCACCAAGGGAAATATTCCTGATTCATGAATATGGATAAGCTTAAGTAGAAGAGATTTTGTTGGAATTAACTTTCCGGTATATATGACTCAAGGTAGGTATTGCCTCTTCCCTGTTTAAAAAAAAAAAAGAGTTTTGATTCTTTGGCTTGTATCGTCTAGCTATGTTTTACAGCAGCTACAGTGCAGAGTGCAGCAAAGTAGATGTCTGACTTCAAGGAGTTCATAATGAAATGTTTGAATCCAAGTATGTGATGAAGGTTAGAAAACTGTTTTCCGAAAGCTCAGTATCAAATCTAGACTCTAGCACTGTCACTTTCATTAGGAAAGACTCTTGTACTGTCTCTGCTTGCAATGGCTATCCACCTGTAGAAAAGGGGGGTTTGAATGAATAATAGCACAAATCCCTGGTATCATGGTATGACTTTTTTTCTTATACCCCTCTCCTCTCCACCTCAGTGTATTGTCTCTTCATTTATATTGGGGGAGGGTCTTTGCTTTTTATTCTTTTTTTTTTTAATGTTTTAAATTGTAGAAGAATTTCCAGTTCACGTAATTTTAATTGGCACGCATTTAAAGAATAAAATGCATAGAAATTATTTTGCATTTTGTTCCAAAGTTATTTAAAACATGGCTCAGGTGCTGTTGTGTTGTTAGAAAATGCTCCACTTACTTCCAAGATTTTTAAATTCACAGTAGCTTTCAGTTTTGGCTCAGCTTGGTGCCAGTAATCAAAATGTGAAGCTCTGAGCAGTTAAGATACTTCCTGCATAATCTGTAATTCTGCCTTTTTCCATGAGGTTTCAATTACAGGTAGATTTATTAATTTAATATATTTATCTACCTTTTTCCCTAGCTGTTCCTCAGTCTGAGAAGTTTTGTAGATCTAAAATGAAGATGGCTACTGGGGATTCCTTGGTTGCTCTGTCTTTTTTTTAAGTATCTTACCTAAATCCAAGATGACTTTGAATTTAAGATAACCCCCAATAATTAGATTATGTACATGGAAAACATAAATATTCTATAATTTCCATGTATAGAATCTAATTACTGGGGGGCCATCTTGAAACTTGCTCCCCTGTCCCCTCCACTGCTAAAGCAGGGGAAGTGTAGTAGGGAGCAACTAGTAGAGAAGGCAGGTGGCTAGATTTACTCCCTATCAACCCCTCCACCACATGATACCTACATCTCTGGCCCCAAGACACCAAAGCATCTGCCCCCACCACTGCCGCAGCATGACTTGACATGGGCTAGAACTACCACGTGCTCCATGCCCCAGGCTAGAACAAGGATGGAGATGCAACTTAGATTAACTGGCCAGGGTGGGGAGGAGACAGAGGTGGCTAATGCAGGTGGCTGCTGTAGCTCCAACTCTGGCCCTGACCCAGGTTTGGGCCTGTAATTGGAGCCACAGCAGTTGCCAAACCTAGCCCCCTCTTCCCTTCCCTTCTCTCCCCACCCCACTGCCGTATACCCAAATCCAAGATGAAGGGCTCTTCCTTCACCCTCCTCTCCCCCACCATGTTGAATGGGGTGGACTTGTCTTGGATTCAGGTATATACAGTAGTTTGTTTTTGTTTAAATCCTTTTCTTCCCAGTGTATTGTTGCAAAGAATTCAGTTTTAACCACTATTGCTCAATGTTAACTTTATTGTTTTATTTTGTCATTTTGTTTCTGTAGCTACAAAGAGTAGCCAAACATCTTGTTGCGAAGTCTTCTAAAGAGACCTGGGCCTGAAAATATATGCCGTGGTACAGGGCTCATGAATACCTATTGTGGAAGTAAACTGGCAGATTTTTTATCGTTTGATCAGTGAGAATTGAGGACGGTACATCTGTCAGGGACACTGTCAAATCAACCAAAAGCCCTCTAAGCTATGAAAATCCAGGTTTTAAGTTCATTGCTTTTCTCATCACATGTTTCTCCTATTTTTTGTGCCCAGGATGAGAAACATCTCAGATAATCTTTTACTGAAAATTCCCATATAGGTTGAGACATGGGAAATTCAGACAGACTTGTGGCGTAAATCAAAGGATTTAGTTTTGATTGTGATGAATATAGAACACTGAGATGGAGATGGCTTTCTATTTTATCTTGGGTTGTACTCTAAAGGCTTCTGAAAGCAACCCTGCTAACTTGAATTCATGAAATAATGCAGCTTTTTTGGTGTCAAGTGTAAACCTTTGTTTTTCTACAATAAAAACATTGAACAGCCCTTGTGCTTTCATTCTTCAGTCATGCTGTATTGCATTGGTTTGACATAATATTTTGAAAGAGGCAGCATTTCCTAGAACAATCCTAATCATAAATCTAAAATGTGCTTTATAATGTGTATTTAATGAACTCGCCAAAAATGCTGGGTTCATCCAGTCTGACCCAAGCTTACCCCGTAATTTTGAAGATATTTATCATTTAACACTTTGCCTAGCTTCTTTTTCTCTTCATCAGTATGTTTTGTATTTACAAATACAGTTTCTGAAATGAGAACTGCAATCTATAAATAAGCATTTCATAAAAACTTTTTTAATCAATAGAAGCTGAAGTAATTCTTATTATCTCTTGTGAAACTTTTTTTTTTTTACTGTGAAGGAATGTAAACTTTGTATTTATTTGTATTTCTTTAATGATAATGGTTACACATACAGAATTTCTTATACCTGTTTAAGGATGTCATAATAAACATTAGCCACACAGGGGTGCTTGCTCCATAAAAAATATGAAACCAATAAAAGGGCTGCTATCCATATGTGAAACACAAAATTGACCCATTTTTATACTAAATAATACACACAGTTCTTATCTTTTTAACGCTTTATTCCAAAGAGAAGTTTGCTGGTTTTATCTGTGTCATCTGAAAGACTCTTTTTTGTGATTATTTAAGTAACACCCTTAAGTCCAAAAAAAAAAGTCTCTATTTGTTAGCTACCTGTTCTAGCAGATTTCTGGGTGAAATGTATGTAGCATTCTCCCTGTAAATAGCCCATCTTTAAATTATTCTGTTCATATGCCACTTGACAACACTGGCTTTACATGCTAGTATACAGAAACCATGATAGCTTGTCTATATTTTTTTATGGATAAGTGAAATCCTTAGTTTTTCCAAATGACTAGTGTATTAACTATTCCTTTTTTAATGTAACATGTCCTGAATTATTTCATAAATGGGAATAACTATCAGCAAGAAAATTCCTTTGGAAGGCTGTTCCAAAACCTGAGTTTAGGGAAGGAATGTCCTACCTTGCATGGTGTGGCTGTGTCTGATAGCAGAGGACTATCCCTTGGACAGTCCTACAAGAGGTCCCTTTCCGTTTTATCACTCTTTGGGTAGTAAAGTTTTATTATGAACTGTTGCGAACAAACATTCATGTACTGTGCTCATCAACATGGCTAACATTTTAATGTATGCAATTCTGAGGTTGGCTGATATGTATTATATTTTCAGCAAAGATACTACAGTAAGTCATTAAGCCAGTTAAGTGAATCTTTGGGGTTTTGTAATAACTACCACCTATAGTTGGAACTTTTGTTTTGTTGTGAAGGATGACACCAATCTGAATACTTTTCCATGAGAATTTTTGCATGTTATTGTCAATAATGTATTGAATTATTAAATATAATTATAACAATTAGGATTGCTTTAGAGGTAGCTCAGTATCTAAAAAGAAAAAAAATTAGTTTTGATTTAATTTCAGTGCCAATAAAAGAGATGGGTATTTTGCCATTCAGGAACAGAACTCATTTTCAAATAAGTCCTTCTGTAACATACATACTGAAAACAAAGCTCCCCTGATGTTTGATGTGACTATTATCACATATACTTGTAACTCAGAATCATATTTAGTGCATTTTACTGCCAGTGGTCAGTTCTATTCATAGTCCCCCATTCTATGCTGAATTCTTTAAATGTTCCTTTTTACCCAAATGATTATTAACTCCCATCCTACAGTACTTGTAAAAAGTACTATTTTTCACCAACTTTTCATTGACTCTGAGAAGATTTCTGTGGTCTGCAGTTTGTCATTGTTTAGTATAGTAAAATGAGATAAACACAAACAGCAAACCTAGTGGACAAATCTTTTGCAGATTCCATTCGAGATTCTTGACTAATTCCAGACTCTACAGAAGAAGTAGATGTCAATACCCTAGAACAGGGGTGTTCAACCTTTTTTAAGAACTACTCTTTCTGGTGGTGGTGGGAGAGGTGGCCACTTCATGCGAGCAGCACCTGTGCAGCCGGCAGAGGGATGCCTCTGCCCCCACCCCCACCCCCTCCACTCCTGGGAGGTGGTGGTGTGGCATAGTGGGTGGAGGTGCTGTCTCCACCTTTCCACGCATACCCCCTAGGACCATTCCAAGTATGCATAACCCCGGTAGACAACCCTAGCCCTAGAAGTACTCCCCACTTGACAGAATTAGCCTATTGGCTCTGTTGGAGAGTCAAAGAGAGGGCATGGCCAAGATGAGGAACAGTGAACTAAAGTTGTTCTCAGATTCTGGGAAGCCTTAAGGCTTTCCCCCAGTTAATTTCTTACCCTAAATAACCCGGCAGCTCCCCACTTTAAATCATTTCTCCTCCTATTCTAGAGCTAAGCACAGAGGGAACCTGATATTTAATGTTTGCTCATAGACTTTACCATAATGCAAATATGGTCACGTTTATCTGTTTTCGTAAGCACAACTGTGTCTGTGTGATGGCTTGGAATATGCCAGCCTTCCAGTAGTTAAGTGGCAACCACCTCCCTTGCTGAGTTGCTATAATCCTTGGAGGACCTCTTCATACAAATCTGTTGTTTAAGTTGAATCAAATCTGTGTTTGATAAAAACCCAAATGCCAGCATGCATAACAGGAGCCTACTTATGGGTGACACAGCAGTGTTCTCATTCTCATAGAGTATTGCTTCCTAGTATCTTGTTAGGAATTTCATAGTTTAATTATGAATTGTGTAATATAAGGAACACAGCATGCTAGGAACTACAAGGAGCAAAGACCATGACATTTCACTGTACAGAAAGAATAGCAAAAGATTCTGCTCTGTAATCATAGCCGGGTTTGGATGGATCAGTCTTTAGACTTGAGTAACACTGAAGGCTATCTTTCTCTTTGCAAAAGATTGGGTTCCACAGAGTTGGTAAATTTATCTGGAATGGTGATTTGCTTTAGGAAGAGATTCTTTCACTCCCCCAGCTGCTTAACTCAATAGAAAATTACAGATTCAGGAGAAGAAGATTGAAATACACTGAGATGCAGTATTTGAAATTAAATACCAAAACAAAATAATTTATAAGTGAAAATAAAACTTAAGTTCCAAAGGAACAAAAGAGTATTTCCTAATTTTTTTTAAAGCATTTTATTCCTGACTGCTTTCAAAATGAAATTTCATCAACTTTAGTGATTTAGTCAAATTTGATCATTTTGGAGGTGGAGGTACAGAAAAGCATGTGCCATTTAACTATTGGAACAATTAACATATGAATGCCAAGGATTTTCTATCATCTGAAGTTGTATCAAGTTTTCAGTGCCTTCCTGAGAAACTCTACCTTTGGCATTGTCAAAAGGTGGGCCACTGCAATAGGCCTGGCTGCCCTTGCTGTCAATTGTCTACTGCTGACATGCTTGCAACCTGCCAGTTAACCTGTCCCCCTTCCTCTGCCTTTCCTAAACCTACTGCTGTATTGCCACTGATATCCCTGGCTCTGCAAGCTAGATAGCATTGCTTAGAGGACTGAACCCAGCCCATGGGCTATAGGTGCCATCCTGTAGTCTAGCTCAACCGGAAGTTACAAGCTGACGGCAAGAACCACTCGGGGTGCAGAC